CATCGTTAACTTCTGGAAACCACAATCATTAAACTGTATATAAATTCTTCGTTAGTTGCACAGTTGCTGTCTTTCGCTCCCTGCATGATATCTATGAGCCATATACAACTCATATGGCTGAGCATTATGTACAGTAAAACTATTATCCAATCATTTTCGTCTGCATATGGCTTAGAGGAGCCAAAGTTTAGGAGCTCATAATTTGAACTGGGACGACATTAACTATGTGGTAGTTGCTTTGTTTTAAGCCTAGTGATAACTGTAGCCCTTACACTTTTCCTTTAATCGGTAAATATGAGCCAGTGGGAAATAGTGTATGGTAAGATTGCTAGCAGAACACGAATTCATGTGAACTTATGGCACGAAACATCTTATCGCAGAGTATTCCTGAACATCTGACGGTGAAGTGATTGCAATTGCCAAAATCAATTGAAAGTAAGAAAGATGTATGAAATAGTGGATTGGATTGTGTGTAGTGATGGTTGCAAAGATGCTCCATTGCAGCAATCGGAAGACATTGATATTCTCGTTACTGCAATCCAAAAAGCATTCTAAGCCCTGAGTAGATCGGTTGAAGGTTAGAGCGATTAGCAGTTCACCAGTACAGAAAGCTTTTTCTACACATGCACCGAGAACTCTTCCTAGCAGCGTTTTCTAGGCTGAAAAAGAGTTAGACATTTTCTCCCAGAAACTTATTCAAGAGAAACAAATATTAGGGTGACTGCTGATAGCAAAAGATCTATAGAACTAGCTGAGAGACAAGCGAAACGAAGGACCCGCATGGTGTGGTGGTGAACGCGTTACTCTCCGGAAAGTACAATAGCGCGTTCGTTGCCCACCGCAGACACCTGCGGTCCGGAGTTTTGCAAATATCTCAGCATTATAGTAGTAATATTAGGTCGTTGAAGAATAAATGGGCGTTTTAAAATACTTATTGCTCTGATGTTTTTTTTACCAATGAAATATCCTTTGTACTTTGCAAAAATTGCATATTATCAGAAAGGTGATTTTGTGTTTTTTCGCCAAAAGTTGAATTTTTCTTGCCAATTTTGAGCTTTGAAATTTTAGATTTCAAAGATGATTTTTCGTCAGATTTTCTTTCATGAGTTCAAACTCGATCGTAGTGCAGCAGAGACAGATCGAAATATTAAAGTTTGGTGTGAAGGTAGTGCTGCTGAATCGACAGTGCGAACATGGTTCCAGAAACTCCGATCTGGTGAGTTCGACCTCGAACATAAGGAAGGCCGAGGACGCCTCAGTGGACTTGACGACGACGAATTGAAGACATTAGTGGAAGCAAACATGCGAACCATTTTTCGAGAGCTTGCAGAACACATCTCGGCGTAAGCACAGAAACAATTTCCACCCACTTGAATCGCATAGGAAGGCCAAAAAAGAGACTCGACAATTGGGTGTCACACGAATTAGACGATAATCCACTTCTTCAAGCGTTATGACAACTTGCTGAGCGAAAATGGCTTCAACAACCGAGATGACGCAAAAAATTCCCTCGACGAATTCACTGTTTCCGGTACTCCACAATTTTAGGCAACTGGAATAAATAAATATTTTTCTCGTTGACAAAAATGTTTACATCTAAAGGGTTTTGTTTTCATCAGTAAAGCTTCGTTTGAGGCAAGTTATGACATTCTAAACAATATAGTTAAAAACGTTCATTTATTTCTGAACAACCTAATATCTACCGTTCACGTTACAGACAGCTGGATGCGGGAGTGGGAGTTTGTAGGCAGCGCGGATACCGTTGTGGTGGCGATTTTCGTACTCTAAGCCGTATGTGAATGGAATTTAATACACACCTCCGTCCTATGCCATGTATTGCCGTTGGTTGTCCGATAATTCCTTGGCAGTTGTGTTCCATGCCAAATCTGCTCTACAAATTTCTCAGTTGTGACAGTCTTGAAAATTCGACCTGCTACTATCAAGCGGGGACATGTAGTTAAGTTCTTAGAGGTAATAGCGAATTTTCCTATTAAATAGAGATCTTGGATCTGGATCAATCTTGGAGCATCTTCAAGGAATTCACCAACTTCGGGAGCATCATTCGTTTAGCTTTTAATATCTAGCACTATATCATTCGACTATCTGGCAAATCGACTCGATGCGACGACGCAGACACCACTTCGAGAGCACGAAGTACTGTGGGCCATCAGCTCGGATCATCGGCTCTGAGGAAGACGAAGACGCCGAAGTTGGAGCTAATTCGAACCGTTCGATTGCGCATATCCCGCGTCTGAGAAGTTCGTATCCCAGTTCTACACTGTATTCAAGCGAACTGTCGTGTAGACGAAGTGGGTGCAAAGCGTTTGTTAGAGTTGCAGGCGCATGGATTTTTTTTGATTGAAACTCACGCATCGTGCCCTTCCTCCACCGTTCGTATCCCAGTTCTACACTGTATTCAAGCGAACTGTCGTGTAGACGAAGTGGGTGCAAAGCGTTTGTTAGAGTTGCAGGCGCATGGATTTTTTTTGATTGAAACTCACGCATCGTGCCCTTCCTCCACCGTACCATGTCCTCAGTGATGTGACGTAAAGATGTAAAACACGAAACAATCCAAGGTATAAGTTAGGTACATGGATGAATAACTCAGACCTTGTCGCTTTCGGTTTCGTAAAATTTAAACTATCACGGACTTCGGATTTCTTAAACGGTGGACGTTCTTTGTTACCGAATAATGGTATGGTGTAGAAAAAAACTCACGGACGATTAATCTCACTAATGTGCTCGTTATTTCGTCAACGAATTTCTGTTCTTAGTTTGATTTCCAGAACGCCGTGAAACTTTAATCCACACACTTTCCTTTGCATACATTAGTTGAAATCAGAGTAGCATTTTGCTATGTGCTAAAACAATTTTAAGGCCACTCGGATAATTGCAAAAAGGTTTCCATTAGCTACGCAGTATCATCTTAGAATATTAAGCTAACGCGACGTTGACAAAAGATTTATACAGCCAGCGTTCCGATTTTTTTGTCATCTTCAGGGCCGGATTGATCCTTCGTTAGTTCAAAAGTGGTCGCCTTCGCAATGTCGGTGTTCATTGTCTCATGGAGACGATTTCAGGAAAATGGTGCGCCGACTGAACGAAGAATCTCACTCCACAGTACCCTTTTATATGGAACGGATGATGATCTATTGCCGTCGTTCGATACGATTTGCGTTTCTGGCTGTTGTGCATCCTGCAGTAGTCGGTGTTATATTGGCTAGCGAATAGCGATTCAACATTTTTGTAAAAATAATGATCCAAGAAGGTATCGACTACTAACATCGAAGTTAAATGATGATCGTTTTCGAAAAACTAAGCGGCAATAAAGGCATAAAAACGATAAAGATATGATAAGAATGTAACAGGTGCTGCCTATGCATGCGTAAGTGCATATATATATATGCTTCAATATGTGGGCAGGTATGTGCGTGTATGTGTGTGTTTATATGAGTCCGTATGTGTGCGTGTGTGTGTACATGCGTCGGTATGTGTGTGTGCGCTTGTGTGTGTATGTTTGTATGTGTGTATGCGTGTGTGTCAGTGTGTGTGTGTTTGCGCTTGTGTGTGAGTGTACGTGTGGGCGTGCATGTACGTGTGCGTGTGCGTGTGCGTGTGCGTGTGCGTGTGCGTGCATGTGTGTTCAGAATCCTTAACTGTGAAAGTCACCAACTGGAAGCGAGAAGAGTGCTATCCGAAACGCACCACGACTCATCTACTAACCCCATACCAGAGCTTTCTTTGGTTTATGATTCATTGTACAGAAGATCTCTTTTACTTTTGTAGCTAGTCATTGTGAGTTCTTCCCATTTCACTCTTCAAAGTCGTGTCGTTTCGATATTGTCACTGCATTCGTCGTCACAAACGACATTGTGTTGCTAAAATCATGCGAATATAATAGATAGACAGCATGCGTTTCAAGCTAACGAGATGGATACGAAAACCTCACTTTTTCAATAAAATCCTCAGTACATCTGTTCTGTTGGTCCGAGTTTATGCCAAGTTCTTCTGATTCTTCTGCAGATATGTTCACTTTGTTATCGACAGTGCCATTATTCTCTTCTACTTGGCTAACCTGACCGGTTTGAATGCCGCTCGACAGTGCTGTCGCGGAATCCTGCAGATTGTATTTCAACCAAGACTAGGCGCACCACCGTCGACAAATAAAAAATAGAAGCAAAAATTTAGGTCCAATAGTAGTGCTTCATTTGAAGGAGTACGAATACTTCGAGTAATATACAAGTTTTACTTGCGTATTTTAGTTGTAAATTTCAATACGGACTTGAATAACCTTAACCCTTTTATTTACTGCGTTTTTCTTTTTAATGGCAGGGTATGTTGCGAAATATAACTCGTATATAATGCTAAGATATTTGCAAAACTCCAAACCGCAGGTGTATACGGTTGTCCTTTCCGGGGAGTAGCGCACTTCACCACCACACTAGCTGAGAGACATGCAAAACGAAGGACCTGGATGGTGTGGTGGCGAAGTGCACTACTCCCCGGAAAGGACAATAGTGCGTGTTCGTTCCCCACCGCATACACCGGTCCGGAGTTTTGCAAATATCTCAGCATTATATACGACTTGAACAACCTCAAAATTGTCAGAATATGTAGCCTAGCTTCATTTTTGGCAGCATTGGAGCGCCAGTCTCAACAGATGCCTGCACAAGCTCATCAGGCCGTTTCTTAACTCAACTGCATAGGCAGCTTTTTCACTGATCTTATGCAAATCTCCTACCTTTCTTCTCTGCCTAGAAACAAGGTTTACTTGGAATGCTGTTTCTGTGCACTGGAACGATTCCGTTCATAAACTTTTTCAAAAAAAAAATGTGAAAACAACACAATAATACAAAAACCAACTTATATCCCGGAAGTTCCATCCAGAATATTTCTTCGCATGTGCCTGAAGGTGTATTCTCATCAAAATGAATGTAGGCAGATTTCAGAGCCACCGCAACTGCGTTGTTATTCATCTTGCAAATGTCCAGACATTCCTGTTAAACAGCAGGATTTTCCACCTTGGGAGGTGACGGAGCAAATCTTTTGATTGCAGGAGTCCGAGGTGGACACCGCCCCACTTTCAAGTAAACTCTGCTTCTCGCACTCGATTTCTCCGACATTTTACTGCCGTGCGCTGCTTCGAATAAGACAGGAGTTTCTTCGTAAATTTCGCCAAACCGTTTATGTTCTCCAGCGGACGGATGGTGTTCCAGCTGAGGTGCTTCCTCTCTGATTTTTACGATGCCAACGTCCTTTGATGAATTTTTCTCGGTTACATGCGCACGAAGGGTGGAGCCTATGGTAGGTGGAACCTGTGGAATAGTATCATCAAGACTTAGCTCCACCTCTTCTAACACATCATCTTGTTGAGTAGTCTGAAAATTTCAAGTTCCCGAGTTTATACAACGTCGTAACTATTATTTTCTGCTTCTTCTTCGTTCCAAAGTACAATGTGAAATACGGCCAAAGGAATGCTGAAATACACGTAAAACTCGGAACCTCAGCTGCGCTTCGAACCCGCTGTTGACCTTACCGGGGACTGATTTGCTTTCCGCAACGCGCACGGGGCCATTGCTTCAACATTTTCAGGAGAAAAATAAAAAAAAGAATAAGTAGAAAATAAATGTTAAAACACCAAGCAGAAAATAATAGTTGGAACATTAGGATTTGATTCGATTCGACGATTCTGCTGCACCTCAGCTTAACTGGGTTCAGTTCCGATTTTTGCTCCCCAAATGATTCTCGTTGACCGGTAATTGCTGATAGCATCGTCAGCTATAACTGGCTGAGAGTAAGGAAAGGCAAGGACCTCGGTTGGTGTGGTGGATAGCAACTGACCTCCCGGTGAGAGAATCGCGGGCATATCAGAGTCTCTATGATTGTTGTCGAGTTTTAATTAGTAATAATTGAGGAATTCGCATTTTTCACTCTCGCTAATACGTTTTTAAAAAAAACGTGTTACACATCGGTCTATGTGAAAAAGAAAGCGTCGTTAAAAACGGCACTACTTCACCTTTTCTGTGGTTTCCAAATAACCAACTTGGGTTTGATTAGTAGATAAGTTGACTGGAACTCTCCTACAATATACAAATTAAGGGTAAATCCAGTGGTTATTTATGTGGGACTAGCATACCCAACTACGCAATCCTCTGATTTGTAGATTTCACTCCTGTCGTTTTCTTGAACACATCTAGGCGGAGGAGGTGCTGGCTTCGTCTTTTTGCTCATAACTCGACCATTGTTTTGACATCTTAAAAATAAAAAACTAAAACTATCTGTGACAGTATCTACCGAGTTACAAATTTTGAAGACAACTCTTGTCGACATAAACATATGGAGGCCACTTTTTTCTACTCTTCTTCATAACGCGTCAAAATGTTAGCCCGAAGGCGTAACCTCTGGACTGTGCGGTGGATGAGATAAATCAGTCATTTCCTTGCTTTGCAATCGCCTTCGACTCAACTGTGTGACGAGCGAAGCCACCATACAGATGCTGGAATCCGAGCCATCTCAGTCGTTGTTCCTCCAAACCAGCTTGTCTTTGTAGGTTATCGGCCATTCAGATCCATTGAGATCACTAGAGTTCCCGTTGCTCCAGTGAAGTGCTTGAACGAGCCCCGTAGCTTCTGCTCGCCAATGGTTACCGGTTGAAACACAGGTCTGTCTCTTCAGCACTCATCAGTGCCTTGGTACGGACCAGGCGCTCTTAAAGGTTTGTGACGAGAATGTGTTGATCGGCGATTTCGTTTCTATTTCATTTACACTATTGAGAGCGTGCCCTTTTATACCTATACAACAAAATTTTTTAAACATCCGTGTTTCAAAATAATATATTTGCTTGAGGTTGGAATTTTATGCAAGAATCCAATTTGGGAAAGTCAAAAAAGAAGTGAAATTTCACTTATGAAGGATATAAACCCGATGCTGAGAGCACTAGTTATTTTTGAAAGGTTTGAGAGGGATGAGATTCGCATGGCGTGATATTTACGTTCAAACGTCGGGGATGTCGTCGTCATCCACCCGGGATCTGACTGAACATCCAACCAAACGCAATATTCTCTGGAGGGTTTTCAGTAAAAGTCTGTAGTTCTACGGGGTAACTTTACCTGGATAAGTGATGTTTACTGCGTTTACCAACTGGTTTACTACGCTATGTTTATTTTTTCTTTCGTATTCTGCTTTTGTTTGATATTTTCCTTCATTCGAACGAACATTTACCACTCCTTATCTAATTATGTGACCCTCTCCATAAGTGGTGCCGATCCAACCACTTCTCTAATCTCACTTGTTATGTTGCACTCGATCCATTATGTAGCAAGATCTTCGAGTTTGTACGTGGCCCAACTGCCAAAGGGTAATATGTCTTCTTCATGATCGTCGTTCAATGTTGGCCGAATTGATTCTCCCTAGAATCCTGGGATAGCTCTACTAAAGCCTTACCACCACAAACAGTCGCTCGTGTTTCTCGACCGAGTTAAGCTTCTCCCAAACAAATATAAGTCCCCGACCTTATAGGGATGTGAGACTTGGTTATTTCAGCGTGAGGTCCAACCAGCGTCACGCGTGTGATACATGACATATCTGACCTCTGCGCTTCCCTTGTACCTTTAAATAAGTTCATTCAGAGGTATATTTACAAAATGGTGTAAGTAAAACATTGTTATAATGTCAAAATGCTTTATGAATATGCTAGAAAAAATGACGTTTGAAGTGTACAACCTGCCAATGTTTTACGCCGATGTACACAAACTACCACACTCTCATGGAACAAAAGTAGAACAATCTGCTTGAAAAAAGTTACAGAGGAAAGGACGGAAACATACTTACAAGGTTCGATTGACAACATTCCTGAAGCTGTGTTGTTTGAATGTCACATCGACAGGATTTTGATGTTTTGTAGTCGAAACCTTGAAATGAAGAATGCTGCTTCAACCAAAGCGATAAAGCAGTGGTGCTTACAAAGACGTCAGAATTAAGAACAACTCTAAGACATCGACCGGAGAGTCAAAGGAAAAAACTGTCTATCCAAATGCAAATGAGTTCAATATCGTAACCAAGAGTTCAGAAATGAATCAGATCTCAAAATAGCCACCCGTTTTCTTCTTTTACGGATCAGTAATAGAAAATATTGGGTTAAAATGCTTTGAGCCTCTCTGGATAACAGAGAAGCGAACTGAAATCTTTAGTCACTCATTCCACTAGGCACATGGTATTACTTTGTTAGCCGTTCGACTTTTTAAAGGTATGTTTGCTGTTGTCTGCAGACTGTTGTTGGCAGACAGCAATCAGGGCGATATTGGTGTATGTCGTTAGGTAAGCTCGATCCTTCCATATCCCGTCATCATTCAGAGGATGACGAACTCGTAGTAGATCTGTCCGCATTGCCAACTTTAACGCAAAATTACGCAGGTTACCACCACGTTCAGTGTGTTTGTCATTGTGTCCCTAAATACCACCAAACTTTGGCTACACTTCTCGCAGTCGTTCTTGCTTTCGAAATTTTGTGCTTATCATTGATCTATGAAATGGTTTATCTTTTCGTTATTCACGATTCCACCTTTGCTGACAGTGATTCGGGATCGGTCCGGAGCTAACACACCCACCATCAACAGCAGCAGTAGATGCTCACCGCCTCGTCAAGCGACTCGATCTCAAATACGATTTGTTAGTGGCTAAAATCTGCGAAACTGCTCAGATTGAATGCGAGAGACGCCTATGGTAATCTAGTACTCAAATTCCTAATGACAATTGTCATAGTCAACATCGCTAATGGTTCAACAAGCAAATTCCACTTCGCAATTGTGATAAGAACCTTTCTCTAGAAGCAACTTATCACAGAGTAAAATACATTCGCCATTTTCAAGTACATAGTGTGCTCTCGTTGCGTGCCAGAACCTCTCACGTCAGAGAGGATAAGCTTCGTTGTGATATGAGAAATCTTGTCGACTTTTTACATAGGTTCTTGGAATTCTCAACTGACCATTCAATCTCACCAAATTTCGTCACAGGCTGTCTACACCTTGAGAAAAGCGGTATAAAATGAAGTAAAGCCTCGTAGAACTCATAGATATCCTCCATAGATCGAGTAGCTGCTGCAAAAAGAAGCTGTCCGCTTATAAGCTAAAGTCAAGGTGAGACTGAAAGACTTCTTTTTCCATATTCTGGGCGCGTGTTCCTTTGAAAATGCTCAAATGTGGTCACGCTTCGCCGAAGGAGGAATACTGGAGATAAGTTCTTAATCTGTGATCCAAAAAAGAGTAAGTTCTTAAGGACTATCTAAGTTGTGAGTGTTTAAAATTTCCCAAACAGGAATGACCTGTGGTGTGTTATCAATTTCTTCAAGCGTTGATCCCGATCTCATCGCTCTCTTCACGTCTTCGGATTTGAGGTGGCCCACGAGCGACACAAGTCTAAAACAACAGAGCTTACCAAGAATCAATAAGGCCGAGACACTGAAACATGCCACGGACAAACTGATAGAGACGGTTGCCTATAATTTGGTGACAAATAGTTTCAGTTGAAAAGACTGATAAAAGAAGAGAAAAAACTGAAGTGCCCGGCCCTTTAAAAAATCGTGAAGAAGATCTCTTCGATAGGTGCGTTTTAAGAACGTTTGTTATTTCTTCGCTTGTGGGTTAGAGACCTAGCAACAGATATGAATCAAGACCACGCTTTAAGGTTTAGAAATTTACCGTCATAGAAAGTTACAGAATAGAAACTAGCTTGGACGATGAAAAACTGCAGTCCGAGCGACAGCATCGTGTTCTGCTGGACGATATCGCACTTCTTCAATCCTCTGGCTGCTCAGCAAGCAAGCCTAACTTCAGGATGAAAGGAATATGTATGTTCTACTCGTTTTTACTACAGTAAAGGGTGAACGGAGATGTGTATGGTTGAACATTAGAAACAATAAAATTTCCTGTCATGTATGAGTTGAAATCGATTCATGTAGGTTACTGTTTCTCCTTTCTCTTCTATGCCTGAGTTATGATTACCAGCTCCAATGCAAAAAGGAAATTTAGGAAGCAGGTAAGAAATAATCTATAGAATCATCATCAAATTAGGTAACACTAGAAGTGGAGTGTTTGTCCGTATCACCTGTAGTCCCGTTGATCGTCGAGTGACTCGAGCGGGCGCCAGTAAATCCTCCACTTTTCCCTGTTGCGTGCAAGAGTAGCCCAATGGGTTCTACTCGCTCCAGGGACTCGTCGAGCACCATATCTTTCTTCTAGGCTTCTCGTGGAGAACTCTGACCATCGGGTCGGTGGTCTTCCTGCAATACGTTCGACATCCCGAGGAATCCAGTCACTAACGTCTCTTGTCTATCGGTTGTCATTCATATGCATTACGTGTCTGGCCTACCTTATCTTCGACTGTTTGGCGTACAGAACGGCATCTTTGATTTTTGGTCGTTGATGCAGATCGGAGCTTCGGATCCCTTCCCCTACTTGTGTGAAACGGGATGCGCCTAGCATCGTCCTTTCGACTGCGCGTTCTATAACGCTGAGTGACCTTTCATCCTGCTTACGCAGCGGCCAGGTTTCTGACGCATACGTTAGGGCAGGAAGTACCGTTGAGTCGAAAAGATGGGCATGGAGTCGGGTGTTTTTTGTTCTCTTCACTATATCCTCACATCCTCGATGCTCTTGAAAGCTCCCCAAGCCGCTCGTTTCCTTCTGCACAGCTCTGGAGCCATCATATTGATTTTCCCGACCTAGATAGATATAAGTGGAGCACTCGGAGATATTCGTTCCATTGAGCGTGAATGGGGCATGCGAAAACTTCTGTATTATTCCGTATATATATTCCGTTTGTCCGTATCCATCAAAATTAAGTACGCCCAGTCTGCTCCCAGTGCACTGCTGTATTCAAACCTGTATTCACACTGTTTGTGTCGGACCATTGGGTCAGCGTATAGTGCGATGGCTTGATATGCTCTGCAATACATACGTGGTGTTTGGTTTGATCTTTGACTTTAGAACACTATTTCCCATTGTTTTTCGAATAATGGTACCCCCTTAGCAGCTCGGCATGTCCATGACTAGAGCTTTCGGAAGCTTCTGAGAAGCATATTTGTTGAGGGTTTCGTGGGCACCGATTATACTTTCCAGTAACATGGTTCTATGTTTCTGACCAAATCGACGTACACGATACAGTTAACAGCTTCATAAGCCTATCCATGCATATACAGAAAAATAGAGCACAGTAAAGGATGAAAACGATACCCT